CAAATTCAAATATTTACCATTCGCAAAACGCTCCTCATATCATGCATGCCGGTCATCTGCTGCTCTTCTTGGGGTCAAGGGATCACCCTGAGGGAGGGGGAGGGCCCTCCCTACTGCGGGTCAGGGCCTCTCGCGGCGTATATAAGAAGGTCCAGAGGCGGTTCGCTTCAGCTCGCGCTTGACCTGGCTCGCGATATTTGTCCGCACCATCATGAAGCTGGTGAGTTTGACAGTTCATAGTCTGGTCATATCTCTATATATGAATATATACACATGTATACACACGCATATATACACGTATAAGTGATCAAAAATCAGATTTCAAGGAAAGGATGAGTTTTAAGGAAATTTGGAGCATTGTTGTCAACTTTGTGAAGTAAACCTGCATTCAAAAGATTGAGACACCGCTGAACTTCGTTTTAGAATTGCAATTCTGTAACAGATATACTGTATCCCTTTTCCCGATTCAGCAAATCTTGCAAACGGATAAGATTCCACACAAATCTCTTTAGCATGCTGTTCCAAACTATTTTCTTGATAAATATGAAAGAAAACCCCCCTCCCGGCAACTACTTTGAACAACGCAGTCAATCACAATCCTAGTACCTTGCAATGTTGTTTAATTTCTAAAGGTTTGATCTTTTGTGTTAAATAGATATATAAATAGATATGGATATTTATATGTGCGTTTGTACGTGAATGCGTGCGTACGTGTACATGAGTCAGTGTGAGTATATATATGTATGTGTATATTTGATATATTTATACACATATGTGTATGTATGTGTAAAACGTGTCAATTTATTAAGTTATTATTTTCTATTTTTATCTTTTTATCATATTTATCTCTCTTTATCTTTTACTTTATGTGATATAGATGATACAGCGAAATGAATTAACGATTCTCCTGCCGGAATGGTCAACGACACGTATTCATTCCATTAAGGTTTGATTTATCAGGTTTCTCATTATCATCACTATACCATTTATCAGCAGGATTATCATGGTTTTTATTTGTTCAGACTGTCCTCTTTGGCGTGGCCGTGGCCCTGTATGGCCTTGTGGGTTCAGCGCGTGCCATGCCTTCCCCCGTGGCCGACCCTTACCCCGTGGCCGACCCTTACCCCGTGGCAGACCCTGAGCCGGTGGCCGACCCTTACCCGTGGCCGACCCTTACCCTGGCAGACCCTTACCCCGTGGCCGACCCTTACCCCGTGGCAGACCCTGAGCCGGTGGCCGACCCTTACCCCGTGGCAGACCCTTACCCCGTGGCAGACCCTGAGCCGCTGGCAGACCCTTACCCCGAGGCAGATCCTTACCCTAAAGCCGATGCTGAAGAAGGATGTTGGTGTTTCTTATTTTGTAAATGTGATTAAGGGAATTCATGTTTGCTTTCATTGAAATGGCTGGAATATAATCGTAAATCTAAATGTTACACGTGTTAAAGCAAACTTTTTATTGGATACAAATGATAAAAATGGACAGTATGAAGTAGTGAGAAGAAAGATAGAAGTAGAGAGAAATAAAAAGATGAACATTGGTATATAAGAAACCTATACATGCTTAGTCTTTTTTTTTTTTTTTTTTTCATTGTGCTTTGCTATCGCTATTTACCAGATATAAATGAATGACTAACAAACAAAATAGACCAAACAATTTTCTTTGTTCAACTTTTATTCAAGTAAAGGGGAATTACCTATAATGTTTCGATGTGTGCGATGTAACTGTTAAAGTTTTAAGAAATACTTGCTTCAGCGAATAAAGACTTAAGACTATTCCTTTTTGTGTCATACTAGTTTCCTTATATATATATATATATATATATATATATATATATATATATATATATATATATATATATATATATTATATATGTATGTGTGTGTGTGTGTGTGTTCCCCTACAAGAAGTCCGAACTGAGAGTTATAGCTCAATAGATATGTTTATCATATGCTACTGAAAAACAGCATCTGCACACAAAGTCAGACATATAAATATATGCATTTATGCTTATCTGAGTATCATTATCCACACACACACACACACACACACACACACACACACACACACACACACGCACTCATGTACCTATAAAAACATAGAGCTATCTCGAATTTCCTGGCTAGAAGTATAGAAGTAGCAAAAGAGAGAAAAATAGGAAAAAATATAAAGGCAAAGAAATATAAAATAAAGAAAAAATCAATGAAATCTAGGAAGTACAACCAATGCTTATAGAAGAAAAAAATAATAAGATAAAGTAAAAAGACCAAAAGAAGCAAAGGACAAATAAACGGAAGAAGGAAAAGTGTATATATATACATATATATTCACTTATGTATGTACGCATATACATATACACATACGTATATTTACGCACACCTATATGTATGAATATACACGTATATATTGTACACACATACACACATAAATTCACACACATATAAGTATATATGATTGTATATATACACATGCACACACACACACACACACACACACAAACACGCACACACACTCATATACAAATGTGTATGTATATCTATGAATATACACACTGATAACTATTTATGTATATTTATTTATCTGTCTGAGTATAAACTTTTATTCTCAAATTTCGTTTTTCTTTTTATATGTATATCCGAGTTGAACGAAAATAAGCCCCATTACTTTCTGGTTTCAAGAAGTAAGAAAAATAGGCAGAATAGGAGAAGAGTGTGATCTCTTTGGTCCTGAAAGAGAGAAGTCAGCAGTAATGTTATTAATATCAATACATGCAAACTAACAGCGACTTAAGCAGTGAAAGGAAAAGTCTTTTGTCTTCACATTTCTAATGTATCTTCTCCCATGCCCTGAGAGAGAGCGAGAGCGAGAGAGAGAGAGAGAAATAACAGCAAACACTGGATATGTTGCTGTTGTCTGCGACAACTTGATTTACGATTTATGAAAATTTATAGGGAAAGGGGATGCATTGTTTACATTCCCTAATATAGTTATCCTATCTAGAAAGTCTAAAATAGATTTATAGATATCTATACATCTTTCACGCTCTCTCTCTCTCTCTCTCTCTCTCTCTCTCTATATATATATATATATATATATATATATATATATATGTATGCATATATATGTATACATGTACTGTACACACAAACACACATATGTGTGTGTATGTGTATATATATATATGTATATATGATTCTGATGATTTGTAGATATATACAAATCATCAGAATTCGATGAGTACTGAATTCATTGTCATCAACAATAGCAATGCTCTTAAACCGGGTCTAGCATCAATATCCTTTTCCGTTCCTTTGTTGTTATTATTCATTCTGTTTACTTTTTCCTTACCAACGTAAAAAGTCGTCCGGTTATACATTGCAAATAATAATGTAAATATTTGGGTAACTTCAATGCGGCATCAAGCTGTGATCGAGCTGGCTATGAGATGCCTGTCGGTCCCCATGGTTCGGGAGCTGATACCGGCAGCGAGAATAGCCTCCTTTTCTGGGACACTATCCTGCGCCTTAGAGTCTCGACTTGATGCCTTTTGTAATAGGTCCTTGCGCCGGATCATGGGGTACTGTTGGCGGGACCATGTGTCCAACCAACGGCTACACCGTGAGACTGGCACAGGACCTGTTACCTGCACAATCCGTGATCGCCAACTCAGGCTTTACGGCCACCTGGCTCGCTTCCCTCAGGATGATCCTGCCCACAGGTTGTCTCTGTTCGAGACAGCCCTGGGTGGAGGAAGCCTGTGGGACGACCTAAGAAGTCGTGGCTCGGGCAGATCGATCAAATGTCGTGAGGAGCTTGAGATGGGCCGAGTCCCTGCCTGGCGACTTGCCTTGAGGGATCCTCGCAGGTAAAACAAAGGGTGGATGCGGCTATGCGCCTCCGTCGGCGTTAGCTCCGTGATGATGATGATATATAACATATACATATATATATATATATATATATATATATATATATATATATATTTTGTGTACAGTTAATGTGTGTGTGTATGTACGTATATATATACATACCCACACATATATGCACACACGCATGTACACATATACATATATATACATATATATGTGTATATGCGTGAGTATGATGTGTATATGCACACACACCCACCCACCACACCACACACACACACACACACACACACACACACACACACACACACATATATATATATATATATATTTACAGACATACACGTGTAGACACACACATACACTCAAACACACTCAGATATATATGCACACACACACATATATGTATAGATATGTGTAAAAGTGTATATTTATATCCCGAAGCCGCCGGGCATGCCATGTACGTGCAGTCTGGGACCAAAGCAAAGACTATATATGGATAAGGAGAAAGCTCATATATCCACCATTAAAAATGGGCGCCTTGGAACGCCATCTATTGAGATGACGCACAACCATATTCGTGAGTTTCTACGGGTAACTATTATAATTTTATAATGTAATTTTGTGGCCAGTCCTTTATTCTAAATTTATAATTTCTCGGATGTATTATCCATATAGCAATAACTCTTAATTGCGAATACGTTTTTTTTTTATTTAGTTTCTCTATGCTCGTGATAAACATTAGTAATTTGTTATGCGCTTTTTCTAATCATTTGGAATCACCGATGATTTAAAGATCAATGCTTTTGTTGCGAATTACATGAAAATTGCCACATGCTTTTTTTATTACATCATTTGAACAACTAAAGCTAAACTTAATTTTATGAATAATGTATTAATTCTTTAGATAAACGTTCAGCTTTTCATTTTTTTTTTTTTGTTATTGAGTATTCATGGTATATATTGAAGCCTCGATATTATGACAATGTGTTGCAAATGTTTTATATCTATACAAGTATGATGCAGGACATACAAAAACAAAAGCAAACAAACACACAGAAAAAATAGAATATGTCAGACACTAAAATAATCACATCCAATATATGTAGTGCATTAAAATAAACAAAAATAACTTTGAACAATCGCATAAGCAGAAATAATATAAACAGGGCACACACAAGCCAATGAAATAAATGCTAGACAATAACATAAACAAAAGTAACACATCCAGAACAATCACATTAACCAAATACATATATGCAGAGCCATCATATAAATGCAAGCAATATATGCTAGATAGACACATAAACCAAAGAGAAATTTGCAGGCCAATGACATAAACAAAAGAATGCATGCAGGTCAACCACATAAACAAAAGAATAAATGAAAGAAACTGATATAAACTCAATAAATACATGCACGATATTCACATAAGAAAAAAAACCAGTTCATGGAAGTATGTTGAAATATCAACACAATATAGATTAGAATGTAATATGAAAGCTGCAAAAAACAATTATAATTAGCAGTAAAAAAATTTGCTTGACAATCACAGGCCATGCACAGACAAGTGTAAACAATTATTCACATGGAATGAGTACATTAAAGCTGAAAGAAAAAGTACAGACCAAAATGTATACATTTCTTCTTATAATAATCTGCAAAAGAAAATGGTTAATGGTTAAAAAAGCAAAAATATATGTGCTAGACATCTCAGGTCATATAACACTATAGGAAAGTATATTAAAGGAGGGCTGAAGGGTGATAGTTGCTATACGTCAACTATCTAGAGTGATCTTGAAAGGTTAAGATGGGTAAAATTGTGTGAATAGGCTATGGTGGGTTTAGGTAAGAGAATTACATAAGTGTTTCACGTGTGTATCCAGGAGGGAGTGGAAATGATAGAGGGGATGGAGGGAGGGAGTGTACGTATAGTTTGAGTTGAGGGGGGTGGGTTGTGTTGGGAGGGAGTAGGAGGATGTGGTATAATATTAGTAGGAGGAGGATGGGTGTTGGGAGGATGGTATCGGTAGTATTTGGAGTTCCGGCACAAGTATTAAGAGTTGGATGGGGTTCTGCAGGAATGGGGTTGCCAGAGAAATCAGTTAGATTTGGGAGGGAGAAGTGAAGGGGGAATATGAGCAGGAGGGTGATGGATATCGGCAGTCACTTCGAGTGTGGAAGGAGTTGTGGAATTTTGTGTCTCAAGCATATAGTTTTGGATATCTTCCATAGTTTCTGCAGTGGAGTTGGTTGGAGTTTTTGTGAGACAAAGGTTTTCTTATGGGGGTATTGGGGAGAGGGGACTGGTGTCTGAGGAATAAAGATAAAGGTGAGTGTGCAGTAGGGGAAGAAGGAGGGGGGGGGGCGTTTATTCTGTCTCCTGCGGGTAGTGCGGGGAGGGAGAGGGGACGGTGTTTGGGCTGCAGTTCAGATTGGAGCTGTAGTTGAGATTGGGATGTCTGGCTTTAGAGTAGCAAAAGAATTTGACTGGGGGAGGTAGAATGTAGAAGTGGAAGTGGGGAAGTAGGTAGGTATAAGCGAGGGTGTAGGAACATCTTGAGGTGGAGAGGGCGGGGCAGAGAAAGCAACATTACAAGAGTAGGGAGTATGGGAGAAACCTTTTCGGCGTGCTTCCTGTCTGGCTTCGTAGAGTGAGACCATTTTTGTATCTTAGAGTTGCTACTTCAGACTCGAACTTCTTCATAAAATATCTTATGTCAGATTTTTCTGCTGAATCATTTTGATGGCACAAGGATAAAATTATAATCTATTTTGACTAGAATTTTACAAACCTTGTGCTTCCATTTTGTCGATTTCAACCTTTCTTTTTGTAGCAATTACCTATCATCCAATGTTCCTTTTAAAGAACCCTAAAAACATAAAAAGGATGTAGAATATCATTTTATACATGGAGATGCATATACCTAAATATAATGAGGAGAGAGAGAGAGAGAGAGAGAGAGAGAGAGAGAGAGAGAGAGAGAGAGAGAGAGAGAGAGAGAGAGAGAGAGAGAGAGAGAGGAGAGAGAAGGAGAGAGAGAGAGGGGGGGAGAGGATGAGAGAGAGAGAGAGAAATAGAGAGAGGAGAGATACAGAGAGATGAGAGAGAGAGAGATAGAGAGAGAGAGATAGAGATAGAGAGAGGGAGAGATAGAGAGAGGGAGAGATAGAAGAGAGGGAGAGATAGAGAGAGGGAGAGATAGAGATAGAGAGAGGGAGATAGAGAAAGGGAAAGAGAAAGAGGGGAGGGAGAGATAGAGAGAGAGAGATAGAGAGAGGGAGAGGGAGAGATAGATAGAGAAGAGATAGAGATAGGAGAGATAGAGATAGAGAGAGGGATATAGAGAGGGAGAGAGAAAGAGGGGAGGGGGAGATAGAGAGGAGAGAGAAAGAGGGGAGGGAGAGATAGAGAGAGAAGAGAAAGAGGGGAGGGAGAGAGAGAAACAGAGATAATTATGGTTGGGGAAGCCTGTGTAGCATTTATAGCAATGATCCTTTTCTTTTATTTACACAAATAATATGTAAATACATAAAGCATCTTTCCAAAATCAATGTCTATATTTTCTGAGAAAGAGAGAGTTTCAGACCCTTGGCTTGCACGTTTGCAGTCTGTAAAAAGACAATTTTATAGTTTCTATAAAAAAAAAGAAAAATCCATTTAACATAATTATACAAGTATGATATGCATTTAAAATTTTCATGATACCTAAGTATCTTAAGGCATGCTTGATTTCAATACAGTTACAGTGTCTGCAGCGGTTACTTTTAAATTTGAAGATTTAATAGAAATAAACTACAACTCTGTTGATCAGGAAATAATTCATATTCTTAACATACCATTCCTTAATCTACTCAAAACGTTCTGATGTTACATTAACATTGCCACTACTCATTCCCATGTACAATGGTAATTCAAAACTCAAAATACTATCGTTTAACAATGGTAACCTTTCAATACTTACAGCTAAGGTTTTGGTCTGGGCAAGCATGGAGAAGTCTAGAATCTGAGTTTCCATTAGTATAATTTCCGGATGAAAAGTGGAAACTGCATACCCTGTAGCTTTTGTTGTGATGTGCATAACTCTTCTTGAATAAACTTGGTAACTGAATAACTTCAAGCCATTTAGCACACCTAAAAAATGTCAAAATACACTAAAATAAATACGTTCATATGTAATATATATGCACAATTATTTTTTTTTTGAAAATGGCCAGCCTATGGCAGGGAAGATCCATTTCAATACTATGAAAAACGAAATATTAATATAAAAAAATAAATACATTATGTAAAGTCTGTATCAGCATTACAAATTAAGATTCAGAAAAATAGTAAATGGTGTCAACGGCAATTGAAATAGTTACTGCATATCGATTTACTATGACGGCAGATAGGCCTATTTCTACTAACCTATTTCTACTACACAAGTTTTTAGGATTTCCTTATCCAATGAAAGAAACATTATATTATATCGATTTCATTATGCAAGATGTAAGTAATGGCACTCACAAAGAAAACATGCTTCTACTAAGGGTAAATAAGTTGACTGTGAAATGCATATAAATGTATATATATATATATATATATATATATATATATATATATATATATATATATATATATATATATATATATATATATATATGTGTGTGTGCGCGTGTGCGCGCGTATATATATATATATATATATATATATATAATATATATATATATATATATATATATATATATATATATAAATATACTCATTAACTACCATACCGAACTCGTATGGTTTTGTGGGGAAAGAGGTATTATTGTAGGAAGGGGGATTTTTAGCTTGGAAATGGTAGATCACTGCTATAAATAAATGTAAGAGTCGTTTGAATGAGACCAAAATACTCTAAAACAGATAACGTAAGCAAAAGAAAAAAAATCATTGGTTAAGTTTTCTCATTTTCTCTATTTTTTGTATGAAAATTGTTTTCACATTATAACAAACTGTTTTATACTAGGCAGTAATCTTTTACATACAATAATTAGTGATAGTTTATACAGTTTACATAATTAATGACAAGGTATTTGTTGGAGATTAGCAGATCACGTATTACACGCTCTGCCTTGCATTATACTAACTTTTCCCTCCTTTTGTAATCCCTTGCATTATTTCAAATCATCAAACAAAAATACCTAGAAGATGATTTGACACTTCGTTACGTATAGATACATTTGACTTTTATGAAACAATCTCGACATACAGTAACACAAGATAATGACCACTCAGTGATTCTGAAGCTATTAAAACTTCATATCTATTATTGATTTTTGATATATGCATACAGTCCATACATTTCATACGGTTATATACAGTTCCGATATATTACCTCTGTTTATCTCCTGGGAAAGTGTGAAACACAAACTCTGGATGCGTTTCTTTCCTGTTATCACGTAGAACACGAGGATGCGCGGCATCCCAGTCACTATGACAGTCCGCAGGCTTCGAAAATGTAAACGAATTGGTGATACCTATGCTATGCTACTGCCATCTATCGGCCTGACGCGGAACTACTGTATGTAGATAGCACGTGAATTTTCGGAGCTTTCCTATCTTTCGTGATTATGTCCTCGGAAAGATTTTCCGTGTTTTGCTTATTGCCCAGAGATGACGTTGCAATCACTTTGTAGTTATCACACATCTAAAGATCTTATTAATTCAAACACATGTTTGAAGCAAAGTAATGAATCCCTACAACCCAGCACTGGCCTCCCTTCCTCCTCCATTCAGGAATCTGCCCCTTTACTACACAGCGATTGCAGCGCCAATTCTGGGCAATAAACAAAACACGGAAAAAATCCTAGGGCTTTAGTCCCAGCCTGTACATGCCGTTGCCTATTTTGTGTAATTGTTTTTACGTATAGATGGCTCTACAAGTACTGTTACCAATAAGACAATTACGCGAACTACCTGTCTCGCCTGTTTACCCTTTTCCTTGATTTTCGATTTTTTCAAATGTTACTGCTGTTAGTAATATCAGTAACAATATAGCAATTAAAATGTTTATAACAAAAATGTGTCAATATTGATAACATTAGTAATAAAAAAAGCATTTTCCAGTTTTTCAAGGAAAACTGAGGTCCCAAAATCTGACTGACTCCTTTGTGGCTAAGCATTGGCAGAGCCATCTATGTGCAGAAACATTTAACAAAGCATTGCCAAAGGGAACTCACCATTTTCCCGTCGACTTTGGGATATACACATGCATGTACTTATGTATATATATACACACATGCACATATATATATCTATACATATATGTACACATATATGGGTGTACGTGTGATCACACACACATATGTATGCAAGTGCAACGTACTCCTGAACGGTATCTTTATTCATTCTTTTACTCTATCTCTTCATTAGTAGATACGTATGAAAATCGAGGAAGGTGTAAAATAAGTGTATGGATTTAATTCTTTTTATTCAGCTATATCAAATTGGATATTTTGTTTTGTGATGAAAACTGCCATAGCAACGGGTGTTGATACAAGGTCGATCCTAAATCTGCGAGGTCACTGTAGCTGGGCATGACCTTTTCTACCAGCGTCTGTAATGACTACGGAAACCATAGCCCCCATAACCATACCTACGCCCCCCATGTCCCCAAGGGTCAGGGTCAGCCACGGGGTCAGGGCCAGCCACGGGGTCAGGGTCAGCCAATGCGAGGGCGTCGGGCATGGCGCGAGCGGACCCCAAGAAGCACGCTAGGGCCGCCACCATGGCCACCAAGAAGGAGATCTGTGAAAATGAGCCAGTCATGTTTCAACTTGTTAAGTCACACATAGATTCCAAATCGTCATGGCTGGTTTTTAAAGGCGCAAATGTTTACAAGATTGAGTCACACAAACACACGCAGAGAGAGAGAGAGAGAGAGAGAGGAGAGGGAGGGAGAGAGAGAGAGAGAGACTTAAGACTGACTAAAAAAGAAAGTCAAAGCGGATACTCCTTATTTAAATAGAAAATAAAATGAATGATTTTGTTTTCCACAAAATACGCCTCTGTGTGTGTTTTTTTTTTATGAATGCAAGTTTATAAGTAGATAGACTGGCTCTTAAGGAATATTTGTATTTTCAATCCTCAAGATTAATATGCCAACAAAAAGTAGCTAAGTAAACATATCCATAACATTATAAATCTATATGTATATATAATATATAATATATATATATATATATATATATATACATATATATCAAACAAATACACGGGATACAAACAATCACACACTCTTATGTAACAGATGTATTCAGTCTTTTGATATTGTAACAAAATAGGTGATTATTTTACAGTTTAGATTATTAAATCTTGGCTCCTAAGGAGCACTTATTAGTAGATGCGGCGTCCCTGGGTACTACACTGAACACACTCAGACACTCACTCATAAACAGACTCGACACATACACATGTTATATATGCACACATGTTTACAGAGAGAGAGAGGGATAGAGAAAACTTGCATGATCTGAAATCTATATATGCCTCAATCAGATCTTTCGTTTATGCTGTTAACCGGTTGAATGATGCATTGATCATTATCTTACAGTGAACACATGCATTTTACGCAAAAGATATTGCGAACTTGAAATGCAGCTGCATACTCACAGGTGTAGATATGTATATATATTTGAATGTGTGCGTGTTTATATGTATATGTACACACACGTGTATATACACATATAAATGTCTATATATGTATATGTATTTGAGTGTTTGTGTGTGCGTGCCTGTGTGTGCAGGTGTATACATATATATATGGGATATATGTCTTAATGGTATTACTTATCTTCAATTTCTTCATTATTCGATGATATATGAAAATCGAGAAAGGTGTAAATGAAAAATGTGTATGGGTTTAATTATTTTTATTCAGCTATATCAAATTGGATATTTTGTTTGCGATAAAAACTGTCATAACAACTGATGATGAAACAAGGTCGATCCTAAATTTGCGAGGTCACTGTAGCTGGGCATGACCTTTTCTACCAGCGTCTGTAATGACGGAAACCATAGCCCCCATAACTATACCTACTCCCCCATATCCCCAAGGGTCAGGGTCAGCCACGGGGTCAGGGCCAGCCACGGGGTCAGGGTCAGCCAATGAGGGCGTCGGGCATGGCGCGAGCGGACCCCAAGAAGCACGCTAGGGCCGCCACCATGGCCACCAAGAAGGAGATCTGCGAAAATGAGCCAGTCATGTTTCAACTCGTTAAGTCACACATAGATTCCAAATAGTCATTATTGATTTTTAAAGGCGCAATATATATATATATATATATATATATATATATATATATATATATATATATATATATATATATATATATAGAGAGAGAGAGAGAGAGAGAGAGAGAGAGAGAGAGAGAGAGAGAAGAGAGATAGGAAAAGATGTCAAAAGAAAAAACGTGTTCTACAGAGGGACTTCTCGTCCCTCTGTAGCATTTGATGATACGCTAACTGCGACTCTCACCAGCTTCATCTTGGGACAGAGAGGAGTGTGCTGTCTCGGTGCAGGCTGAGTGCAAGATGCGCTGCTCTCGTTTCTTCCGAGCCTTTTTATACCCCATGATGAGCACTGGGGTTCCCCTTGGATTCCCTGGAGACCCACAGCTCAGGGGCATCGCTTTTATTTTAATGAATCTATTTTTATTTTAGTAATAGTATCATTATTATATATTTTTAAGAATCTTAGTTGAGTGATTAGTTGTTTACATATGCACGCACGTGTTTAGTTGCTTGTGTATATGTATGAGTCTATTTTTGTGTTTGCGAGTATACACTTACGTAAGAAGGTAGATATGAATATTCATTTGTGTGTGTTCACACACACTTATACATGCACGCAGACGCACAAATATCCAAACAAGACCCCCCCCAAAAAAAAAAAAAAAAAACGGGAAAAATCCATAAATTCCCCCAAAATTCACACCCGAGCAAGGACTTGAATATTCGTGTTTATTGTCTGTGTTTTCGAATAGTTGTATTGAGTATATTATATATATATATATATATATATATATTATATATATATATATATATATATATATATATATATATATATATATATATATGTGTATGCAAGGGGTCCTGGATTTACGATGGAAATCGGAACACACCTTAATGCAGTACAGCATCGAAGTCATTCACATATGCTAATGCAGTATGTATATATGTACTAAAGTCATAATGTAAACATAAAATAATAAAATATGGCATACAAGAAAACATAACTAGGGCTTTAGGAACACATGGAAGACAAACTGTAAATACAGTACATGATTTCTTGCGTCGTGTCCACGAAACGTCGGAAGTCGAGGCCGTCGTAAACCGAGCTGTTTTTATGTACGTCATAGAAGTGTCCCGTGTTTAAGATTAAGTCTTTAATACATGTATACATACTGCATTAGCATATGTAAGTGACCGGTGCTTATGTACATACGTACATGTACTGTATAGGTAACATATTCATTTTGTTTTCATCTCATATTTACACACACACACACACACATAAGCAGATGCACACACACTTTACTATAATTTATTTATCATCATCCATTTACAATCACTTTTTACAGCACGTGCATAAACGTTGTGGATATGCTCATTTTTTATATTCTCTCTCTCTCTCTCTGTATATATATATATATATATATATATATATATATATATATATATATATATAATATATATATAGTATATATATATATATATATGTATATATTATATATATATATATACTAAGTACACATACCTCTAG